AGAGAGAGACAGAGACAGAGAGAGACAGAGAGAGAGAGAAAGAGAGAGATAGACAGAGAGAGACAGAGAGAGACAGAGAGAGAGAGAGCTGTGAAACCCATGGCTCTCAAGCAAGGATGCTTCACCCAGGGCTGCTCAGTCAGTCTGGGTAGAGGTCATCACTGACCTTTCTGGAGATTATCACTGTTCTGGTATTTTCACTATAGGTGAGTCTTGTGTGTTATAGAACTTTGTACAAATGGAATCACACAGCACATATTCATTTACATGTGTCCTCTTTCATAGCACAGTGTTTGTTTCTGATGTATTAATTTTATTTTATGTGCATGATTGTTTTTCTTTGGTGGATGCATGTGTACGACAAGCATGCTTGTTGCCCTTGGAGGTCAAAAGAGGATGTTGGATCCCCAGGAATGGAGTTACAGATTGTTGAAAACCACCATGGGTTGTGGAAATATAGCCGAGATCGTCTGTTCGAGCAACAAGTGTTCTTAACTGCTGAGTCGCACCACAGTGTTTTAAAGATTCATTCCTGGTCTCATGTGTCCTTTCTAGTTTTGGTGCACACTAGATTCTATGCGTGTAACACATTTCATTATGAAGTGTCCATAAATAACTGGGCAGAAGCCTCTCCCATGATTTTCTTTCTTTCTGGAAAGTGCCTGTGATGGCACAACAGGGACTTTCTGCAGCTCCAACATGATATGGCAATTCTTCTGTGAGATTCCCCCACTGTTGAAGCTCTCCTGTGCTCCAACACAACTGAACGAAGCCATGGCCTTTGCTGCAGATGTCTTCCTGGCTGTGGGGAACTTCTCTGTGATCATCCTCTCCTATGGCTTTATTGTGGCCAGCATCCTGAGGATCCGCTCTGCCGAGGGCAAACGACGTGCCTTTTCCACCTGCTCTGCACACCTCATCGTGGTTACCATGTACTACTCCACAGTCATCTACACGTACATCTGCCCTGCATCCAGCTACTCACTGAACAAGGACAAGGTGGCATCTGTCATCTACACCTCTGTGGCACCCACCTTGAACCCCCTCATCTACACTCTGAGGAACAAGGATGTCAAAGTTGCACTTAGGAGACTTCTGTTCTGCTACTGAACCTGTGGCTGCTCCACTGCCTGCAGCTCTGCTGCACTGGGGATCACAGGTGTGGTATAGGTCCCTGTTCCTTTACCCCAGGACACAATTTGTTGAACCACAGAGGACAACTGTTTGCTTTCTGCACAGAGAAGCCGTGGACCTGCACTTGATGCCCTGTAGGAAGATGGTGTATCCATGAGACTATGATCCTCAGCAGTTAAGTGAATTTCCCAAACATCAAATGTGGGCGTTCTTAACCCTCTCTGCTGCAGTCACATGAGCAAGATCTCTGGGTAGACACTGCTTTGTGCATCTGTTCTCTTTTAACTCCAAAAGGCTATTCAGCCTTGACTGTGGCTGGCATGTAGGTAGGTGACCTAAGAATGTAAAGCAGTCTGGTAATTTGAGGACAATTAGTCTTTCTTGTTAGTGAAATATATGAAACATTGATTTCCTTCCACATCTTTGTATAGCTATGGAAGAGATTTTTCAGGGAGACATTTGCCTTGCTGTGGGCCTGCTGTGGCATTGTGTGATAAGCTAAGGCCTGCCTTTCCCTTGCATCCTGCCCAAAATGGACCACCAATGCTATCAGCAGCTCCCCTGTCAAAGCTGGCTCTCACCCAAGAGGGTTTCAGCAGCAGACAGATCGGGCAGCAGAGGTTTCTTAGAACCCAGGGCCTTACCATTTCCACTGTGGAGTGATGTAGCAGGGCTGCTGTATGCTTGGGAGCTTGTTGGTTTGGAGGATATGGCCAGAAAGGAAACTATGAGAGGGAACACAGTTGTTGTCCTTCAGGGGCTTCTTAGAACAAATCCTGAGGCCTCTGAAATCCTTAAATCTGACGTGGGCTGTCTCAAGGTCATGGGCTAACTCTGGTGGACGTTTTACCTTTCTGTTTGCTCCTGGTTGACCTGTGTTTCTTCTTCTATTTGGTTTTTATTCCTTTCAATACTAATTAAATTAGTTAGCTAATTTTTGTATCCGTTGAAATTTTTTTTTTTTTGGTTTTTCAAGACAATGTTTCTCTGTTGCTTTGGAGGCTGTCTTGGAACTAGCTCTTGTAGACCAGGCTGGTCTTGAAATCACAGAGATCTGCCTGCCTCTGCCTCCGGAGAGCTGGGATTAAAGGTGTACATCACCACCACGCAGCTGCGAATTTATTTTAAAGTTTATACATATGTATAGTAATTTTATCAGTTCCCCTCCCCTTTCAATTCTCTGTATGCTCCCCTTTCTGTCAACTTCATAGCTTCTTCTTGATTCACGAGTGCTGTTTTATACATATATTTGAAAATATGCAAATAAAACATTCTAAGTCCATTTAGAGTTGTTCATATTTATATGCATTTAGGATTGACCTCTTGGTAGTGGTTAACCAGTTATGGGCTTGTCCATGGAAAGACTGATTCTCCCTCCCAGCAGTCACTAATTGCCTAAAGCTCCTCATATTTCCATCTTACATGTTAGCATGTCATCTGGTGTTGTCATTGTTCAGTTCTTGTTTAAGTCACCATATTCTTTTTTAACTAAATATTTTTTATTTAAATTAGAAACAAGATTGTTTTACATGTCAATCCCAGTTCCCTCTACCTCCCCTCCTCCCTTGCCCCCCCACAGACCCCCCTATCCCATCCCCTTTCTGCTCCCCAGGGAGTGTGAGGCCTTCTGGCAATCTTCAAAGTCTGTCATATTATTTGGAGCAGGACATAGGCCCTCCCTCATGTGTCTAGACTGAGAAAGTATCCCTCTATGTGGAATGGGCTCCCAAAATCCATTCTTTGGCAAGGAATAAATACTGATCTACTACCAGAGGGTCCATAGATTTCTGAGGCCTCTTCACTGACACCCACATTCATGGGGTCTGTATCATTCCTATGCTGGTTTCCCAGCTATCAGTCTGGGGTCCATGAGCTCCCCTTTGTTAGTAAGCTATTTCTGTGGGTTTCACAAGAGTCTTCTTGACCCCTTTGCTCATCACTCCAACCTCTCTACAACTGGATTCCAGGAGTTCAGTTCAGTACTTAGCTGTGGGTGTCTACTTCTGCTTCCATCAGCTACTGAATGAAGGCTCTAGGATGGCATATCATCAATCTCAATATTGGAGAAGGGCATTTCGGATAGCTTCTCCACTATTGCTTAGATTGTTAGTTGTTGTCCTTCTTGTAAATGTCTGGACGTTTCCCTAGTGCCAGATTTCTCTTTAAATCTATAATGGCTCCCTCTATTATGGTATCTCTTATCTTGCTCTCCTCTATTTTTCTACCCCGACTCAAACTTCCTGCTCCCTCATGTCCTCCTCTCCCCTCCTCTTATCCCTGTCTCATTCTTCTAGTTCTTTCTCCCCTTCCCTCACGCTCCCAGTTTTCTCAGGAGATGTCCCTTTCCCCTTCTCTGGGGGACCATGTAGATCTCTCTTAGGGTCTTCCTTGTTTCATACTTCTCTGGTGGTGTGGATTGTAGGCTGGTAATCTTTTGCTCTATGTATAAAATACATGTATGAGTGAATACATACCATGTTTGTCTTTTGGTGACTGGGTTACTTTGCTCAGAATGTTTTGTTCTAGTTCCATCCATTTGCCTACAAATTTCAAGATTCCATTGTTTTTTTTTCCCACTAAGTAGTACGCCATTGTGTACATGTATCACATTTTCTCTATTCGTTCTTCAGTTGAGGGGCATCTAGGTTGCTTCCAGATTCTGGCTATTACCAACAGCGCTGCTATGAACATTGTTGAACAGATGTCCTTGTTGTACGAATGTGCTTCTTTTGTGTATATGCCTAAGAGTGGAATTTCTGGATCTGATGGTAGGCTGATTCCCATTTTCCTGAGGAATCTCCATACTGATTTCCAAAGTGGCTTTAGGAGTTGGCACTCCCACCAGCAGTGGAAGAGTGTTCCTCTTTCTCCACATCCTTTCCAGCATAAACTGTCATTGGTGTTTTTGATTTTAGACATTTTGTGGGCTACCATTTTGTCTTGTTGATTGTGTGATGAATATGAAATGTCTTCTTCACCTCTTTTGATTGATTTTAGTTTGAAGTCTAATTTGTTAGATATTATGATAGCTACACCAGCTTGTTTCTTGGGTCCATTTGATTGGAAAATCTTATCCCAACCCTTTACTCTGAGGTAATGTCTGTCTTTGAAGTTGAGGTGTGTTTCTTGTATGCAGAAGAAGGATAGATTCTATCTTCCTATCCATTCTATTAGCCTGTGTCTTTTTGTAGGCAAGTTAAGACAATTAATATTGAGGGAAATTAAGGACCATTGAGTGTTAATTGCTGTTTGATTTTGATTTGTTGTTGTTGGTGGTATTGTGTGTGTATTTACCCTGGTGGTATTGTCTGTGGATTTACCCTGTTTTTTTTCTTTTGGCTGTTGGTAAAGTGGGATGATCTATTGCCTATATCATTGTGAGTGTAGTTAACTTCCTTAGGTTGGAGTTTTCCTTCTAGTACTTTCTGTAGGACTGGATTAGTGGCTATGTATTGTTTAAATCTGGTTTGTCATGGAATATCTTGTTTTCTCCATCTATAGTGATTGAAATCTTTGCTGGATTTAGTAGTCTGGGCTGGCATCCATGATATCTTAGTGTTGGTAGAATATCTATCCAGAACCTTCTGGCTTCAGAGTTTCCATGGAGAAATCAGGTGTAATTTTGATAGGTTTGCCTTTATATGTTGCTTGACCTTTTTCCTTTGCTGCTCTTAATATTCTTTCTTTATTTTGTATGTTTGTGGGTTTTATTATTATGTGACAAGGGAACTTTCTGTGGTCCACTGAAGGTTTCTTGTACTTCCATTGACATGTCTTTCTTTAGGTTACAAAAGTTTTCTTCTATGATTTTGTTGAATATGTTTTCTGCACCTTTGAGCTGGTTTTCTTCACCCTCTTCTATACCTATTATTCTTATGTTTGGCCTTTTCACGGTGTGCCATATTCCCTGGAAATTATGTGTTAGGGATTTGTTGGACTTAAGATTTCCTTTGGTCGATAAATCTATTTCTCCTCATGTATCTTCAATGCCTGAGATTCTCTCTTCCATCTCTTGTTTTCTGTTGGTTAGGGTTCCTGATTGCTTACGCATCTTTCCTAATTCCAGCATTCCCTCAGATTGTTTTTTTCTATTGTCTGTATTTTAGTTGTCAAACCTTGCACTGTTTGAATTGTTTCTTGCAATTTTTGGTTTGCCTTTTCTTCCATTCCTTTAAAGGATTTTCTCATTTCTTCCTTTAGGGTCTCTATTATATTCATGAAGTTTTTCTTAAGGTTGTTCTCTTCTGCCTCATCTGTGTTGGGTTGTTCAGGTCTTGCAGTTGTAGAATCCTTAGATTCTAGTGGTGTCACATTGTTTTGTTGTTGTTGTTGTTGTTGTTGAATGTGTTCTTATATTGTCTTCTTCCCATCCCTTCTTCCAGTGGGTGCAAGTGGGGTATCTTCTTCTACTGGTGGGTATGGGTCCAAAGTTCTCTTCCAGTGGGTGCAAGCAGGTCCAATACTCTGATGGGTCTCAAGGTGGGTGCAGGTGGGTCTGAGGCACTTACCCTCATGATGGGTGGGAGTGGGACCAGCACAACAATGTCAGCAGACTCACAGTTGCTTGGTCCACTGGTGGTAAGTCAACATGCCTACAGTTCCCAGGCAAGGAGAAACAAGAGTGTAAGTCAGGCCTGAGACAGGGGCCCAAACTCACCTCTCCTCTGTGTGGGGTGGGTGTAGCCCAGAGATATCAGCAGACTAGCAGTTGCTTGGTCTGCTGGGGGTCAGTCAACCTGCCTGCGGTCCCCAGGCCAGGAGATCCCAGAGTGGGCAAGCAGAAGTCAGGCCTGAGACAGGGGCCCAAGCTCACCTCTCCCTTGCGTAAGCAATTTCTTGCAAGATGGAATGTTTGAATCTAGGATAAGACTGCTACACCTCATCAGCCCACTACAGCTCTGAGTAAGAATTACTTGTGTTAATGGAGGGAGTGGTGACTCAGAGCACTTCATCGTTAGTGGTCAGAGATGCTCCTG